GCAGAAGTCTTTCCCCATCATATTCATCTGCCCGAGTTCTCRGGCTGCCCTCTCCTCTCAGTCATTGTAAGAATTTTGCAGGAATCCAAGGGATAGGCTTKCTTTTTACTACAGTGATGGATGACTCATTCATATCTTTTCTGGGCAGGGAATAAAAATACAGCAAAGATTTCTATGATGTAATCACATAGTCATTGGGAACAGGAACCAAAAGCTTGGCTTTTATTTTGGTCTGTACCAACATGAATGCTGAACATGAACACTCTTGTTACTTGCACAAGTATATGGTCTATGAAGGAGAAAGCTTACTCTTAGATTTTTTATTTCCTCTTGGTGCTTTAGTTTTTCAAAGAACGACTGAAAGAAATCTGATCTTTCCACATGTCTAGGAGCAACACAAAGAGCATCTATGTCAGCACCTGTAAAAAGATATTTCATTTAATCAGTCAAAGTAGTTAGCAACTTCCAGATACTGACATTACAACCAGACAACTAAAATTCTACCTTTGGTGTGTACTCCAAGTCTGTAAGAACCAAATGTAAATATTTTGCCACCAACATTTCCTACTACTGAAGGGGGAAGATTCTGTGGATAAAAATAAGTCTGCTTTAGAACACAAGATATACTGAACCGCGTGGATGCTTAACTGACTTAAGCTTGTTTAACACTCAGATGAAATTTTTAGGCTCTTAATAGATCACAGCCTGTAACTCCTTAGTACTTGCAAGGAAGATATAGAAAAAGATATACCACTCTCCTTAAACAGGTCTTTTACATAGGTATAGAGATGTTAATCCAGATTCACAGAATCACAGAAYATTCAAGGTTGGAAGGGACCTCTAGAGATCATCTAGTCCAACCTTCCTGCTCAAGCAGGCACACAAGAGTGTGCAAGCAACACAGRCTGTTACTGTTTTTCTAACACAAGTGCTTGCAATTCAAGAAATGTACAAGGAATACTACAATTCTATTAATTTATAGAAGTTAAAGCCTATCATTAGTCTATTCTGCAGAAGACTTGCATAACACAATCTGAGGTAATTTAATTCGACTCAGTGCTTTAGACATTGGAAAACTACTCAAAAGCCACTGCCAGCTTACTACCTACCTCATGCCACAATATATTGTTTCAGTTCTGTGCACTGTTGCTAAAGAGCCACTTTACAAATTCTTTCTCTGCCCTTAAAACTGCAAGATCCTGATACAAAAGATCTTGCCTGCAGCCTTACAATGGCTGTTACTACAGCTCTACTTGATATACAAGGGGGAAAAAAATCATAAGCTCAACTTCAGCATAAGCTCTAGTAGTATGACACTTGAGAAATAAARAGGTAGCAGTTGTTTGGCTAAGAACTTAACAAAATCATTACCTTGCTCTCACCAAGTTCCGAAATCCATTCTTTGACTAAGTTATTCAGTTTACCAAGAACAACTAGTCTGAAAAGAAAAATTGTATTAGATTCATTCTAAAATATAAGAGATGAACAAGTTTTACAGTCCTGTTATACCTGTGATTCAGTTGTTCTTCATCTTCAAATACCCCAAATGGCTTCATTGCCTCAACTAACTTCTGAGTTTGAATRTAATCTATATCCTTAGGAGGAGCCAAGCTAATTGGAGAGGTAACTCCATAGTGCCTTTCAAGTTGGTTCTGCAGCATAGAAGTCCTGAGGGAGAAAATAAAATGCTCAAGACTTTACAAAAGCAAAAGCAAATCTCACCTTACTGGGCACCACACTTCAGTTTACAAATTTCCAACTAAGTTCTTGCCYTCTTCCCTCTTATGCTATAAAAATAAGTAAAAAAAACCCTACTTATGCACAATAAGACACTCTTATACTAACCTGCAAGTCAAAGGTCAGGTGGACAATACTAGGAGTTACAGTAACTTATTGTTACCTCAGTACAATCCATCTGCATCACTTGATTACTGTAACATTGCCAGAGTATTAACAGAAAGGTCTTAAGTCCASTGAGGGCAACACTTCAGCACTTTTGAAGTTTGGGGTGTATTTCGCGTCAGGTTTAAGGGTATTTCCCACCCCACCAGTCTTCCAATTATTGGAAACCAAGGGCATTTAACACTGGCTCCATTCAGTGGGATGAGGTCTGCTATCTAAAGCTAATAGAAAATAGAGCAGATTTTCTGGGCTTTTGCTGGGTCAGGAAAGACATTATGCTTCATATAAGACATTATACAGASGAAGAGCATACACGGAATGGTAACKTAGACATTATACAGAAGAAGAGCATACAAGGAATGGTAACTTAAGTAGTGTTGATGCACTGAAGTAATGCACAAACTATTCAACTGTTCATCCCAAACCAAGAGATTTCAGCATATGAAGCAGCACAAGTCCAGCTGTGCTTGGAAAGGCTGCTCAGCGGCAGCCTGGTTATACATCAAGTTTGAAACACCGGTATAAAGCAAGCTCTCCCCCTTCTCCTGCGCAGAGATGCAGCTATGTCATTCTTTTTCTCTTCTAGCTCTGCTACCTCTGAAAAAGAGACTTTTCAATCCTTCTACACATACAGCTTTGCCTGATGAAGGCAACTGTGCAGTGCGTCATTTGATAAATTGACAGTGAACTACAGTCTTTACTTCTAATATTGCAACCCTTACGCATCTCAGGTTTCACAACTTTCAGAATTAAACTCAGTCGCTCACATGCCTTGCTTATTAATGAGTGCAAATTTGCATGATGAACTCCAACCTCACCTCGGACATGACTTTCATGGTGTTTTGCCCCATGCCAATGACTACCAAAAGGCTGTCAAACCTTTCTTGGCAAGCACTTCTCCTGCTGGAKTCAATCCCTGGTTTAGGATCACACAGCAGTGGTTACTGGGACACTTCTTATAAAKAAAAGAGACTTTCCCTGCATGTGTCCCCTAAAGGAACACATCCCAGTTTTAGCACACCTTTCTATTTTACTATYGAATCCCCAAGTAGCCTGGCACAGAAGTTAGATAGCAGAAGACCATATGAGAAGGGAAAAAGGGATTTCACACAGAGCTGAAGATGAGGAGAAAGGCCTGGCATAAGGTCACACAAAGTCTACTTGTCTGTTAAGGGGTTTTACAAAGCCTCTCCATTACTAGCAAAGGAGTCAATACCTCTCAGCTTACTTAATTAGGGAGTCCATATGCAGCCTCCAAAGTGCTAAAGTGATTAATCAGATCATTATTCAAAATGGCTGTTTCCTTCTTTACCTAATGACACCTTCAAATATCAGCTTGCTAGTCAAGAAATACTTAACCCCATTCAAGATATCCCAYAGATTTTGACTGGAAGAGAATTTGAAAACAGTCACCAGGCACCTTCAGCAAGTGACTCATGAGAGCAGGATTGCCTGTCTTTGTATTTATAGTTGTTGGCTTCATTCTTCCATTCGGACAGATTGATTACTCTCTTAACAAGGCTCTGCTGTGCACAGCATCTAAATCTTCATTTAAAACATTATAGTAGTTACTTCTTATGTGCTTTGGGCATTACTTACATCATAATATTTATACTTCAGAGAGTTTGCTCAAGGCAAGAGTATTTTAGACCTTTTAGTATTTGAGATCTTTCTGCCACAGGTAAATACACTACTTGCATTTCTCTTTCCCTATTCTTCCTAGAGAGACTATAATTAGAGGCTGACACAGTAAACAATATCATCCAGATGCATCATCACACAGGGGAAAGATAAAACAGAAGTTCTTAATATCAAATCCCTTTAGTCATCAGCAGATTTCTGTTTTCAGGCTCTTGCATGCATTGCTGAGGAGTATGACCTCATGATTTAAGAGCTGAAGTGAAAAGGCGCTTGGAAAGTTTTACTGAAGGCGTGACTGACATCCAGTGAATCTCTTCCTCCTCTGCAGGCTAAAAAAGAATAAAAACCAAAACGCAACCACACACTTACTCTTCACTTTCAAGTTTACCAGGCTGCCAGGCATTTACAKTGAACCAGCTTCAAGGATAAAGCAGTATAAAGCATTATCTTTTCCTCCATACGCTTTCTGTTCAAGTGAGGAACTTGTTTAGTATTTCCTAAACTTCTGCCTCAGTTTCTGCACCACAGCAGTGGGGTCCGAGACCTGACTTCTAACACATCCCAGTATCACATGACAAGCCCTAATTTAACCTGTCTCAGGCTTGGCTTAGCCCACCACGCAGCTCTCTCGCCCTCGCCACAGGGGGGCCGGTGTCACCCCGAGCCCCACRGCCCAGGGGCTGCAGCCGAGGGCGGGAGGCGGCCGCAGGACCCAGCGGCGCGGGCGGCCCTTCGCAGCCGCAGGCTGCGGCTCTCGCTCCGAGGACCYCGCAGCGACCCGCACGAGGGACCTGCGGGCGCCGGCTGCGGACACGAGCGCTCGCAGGGAGCCACTTACTCCCACCCGAGCGTCAACCGCTCCCTACGCGGCACAAAACCGCCCCAGAGCCCCGACGGGCGGCRGAGCTCCTGAGCTACGGGCACGGGGAGCGCGGCCGCAGCGGGACCCGCCCGGGAGAAGCGGCGGGCGGCGCCCAACGGCCGCCCCTCCCTCGCGCTCCCGCTCCCGCCCCCTCTCCTCACCCGCACGTCTCCCTCATGGCGCACGCGCCGCTCCCGCCACGCGGCCCGGCCCCCGCCCGCGCCCCTTGTACCCTGCGCGCCGCCGCCGCCGCCCTCCCGACGGCCACTGCGGGGCGCGGCCAATAGGGCGCGGGGGCGCTCCCGGCGGGGCGGGGCTTGGCGGAGGCCCCGCCCCGCGCCGCCGCGCCCCGCCCCCTGGCGGCCGTTGGTGGCCGTTGGCGGCCGTTGCTCGCGCGCCGCGGCCGGTAGCGGCGCGGAGGGGGGAGCGGGGCGCTGGGGTCGTTGGTGGGGCAGGGGAACCCGCTAAGGCGACAGCGCCGCTCCGAGCCCCCAGCAGGGCCCCGGTGCTCTTCAGGCAGTGCTGCCGGTTCTGCTCTTCACCCGTGTCTTTCACCCGCTGTCACACGGGTCCCTCGAGCCCGACRGCGCTCGCCATGTGCGCCGCCGAGCAGCCCGGCCACGGGCGATCCGCCCTGCGGCGTTAGTGACCGCAGATAGTCCTAATTGCATTAACTTGCTGCCATCTAGCACTTTGGGCCAATAGTTCTATTGCAAACAGTACAGAGGTGACGAAAACGCTCTGAAGAATCTCCCACTATACAATGACACTGATGACATCTTTGAGCCTGCAGAGTTTTACTGATAAAACCTTCATAATGTCTTTGAAGAGTTAACTGCGTCCCCAGAGAAAGTTGCTCTGCACCTGCCTTGGTATCCTGCTCCATCAGCTCTTCCCTAAGAGAAGCAGCCCGGCTCTTTTTGTACTTTTCTGGGTTGCCTGTAATGCTCGTCACTAAAATACACTTAATCTCACAAGATGCTCTTAAGAAATCCCAAACTGTATTTTAAGTTCCAAAAACTAATAAAACATATTTAGTTTTCAGGCATGAAGGCACTTTTACTAAGATATACCCTTATACACACTTCTTGGGTATTTTTTTGCTGTTAGTATTTAAGATTTTTTTTTTACTATTTGCATAGTAAAATATATTTSCTTATGTTAAGATTTTGCTAAGATTGTGTTAAGATTGTGAAGTGTTACTTAACACAAAGTTTTGTTAAGTTTTGTGTTAAATGTTTCTTATCACAAAATCAGATGATTCAGTGCAGAAAGTTGCACTACTAAAGCCAAAAAAAAAAAAAAAATTCTCAGGAGATTTTTAATTTCTAGCAATACCCTATCATTCTCCTGTTGTTCTRTGCTCACAAAAACTGTTGCTTGCGTACTTCTTTCTGCCCCTTTCAGATCAGCATCATTTGTTTTCCTTGAGGAAAAGAGCTGCCTTATTTTTGTGAATGTGCATAGCTGATTGCTCCACGTTGCTGTTATCTGCTTCTGCTGCGGGCTTTGGGGCTGCTGCAGAAGCCACAGCTGCTCCTCATGTAGGTTTTTAAGGCAGCAGTGATACCTTTTACTAAAACACCTGCAGCAGTTTGGAAAAAATTAACAAGTCTTCAAGCACACAAGGTTTTGTCCAGGTGTAACAGAGAAGCAGTAATTTTAATGCTCGGTACTAATGGAAGATAATCAAGCCTAATGAGATTGTGTAAATCAGGTGTGTTGTTAAAGTGAAAAGGTTTGTGGGAAACACAGGAAAGTGTTAGCAAAAGGTTGGGTGAGAAGGTTAGTCCCTGTTCTAGAGACTGGGGGCAGACTGAAGCATTAACTTGTTTTTTGTGGAAAATAAAAAATAGTTTGCTAGTAATTCATTTTCTGTTGCTTGATAGAACCGTCAATTCTAATTTCTAATCCTTTTTCTTTAAAGGTACTTGAAAGTCTTGTTTGGAATATGGAGCTGGGGAGAAGGACATAGACTGGCTATTTTGTGAGTAATGTTCTTTTATAGAAATATGATTCTTTATAACTTAGCTATGTGAGTAATCTAATATGTGTTTGTTGAGTTATACCGGTGTACTTCCCCTAGCAACACCCAAAATACTGGCTAAAGCACAGTGCTCTAGCACATGTAGAGTTTGGGGATGGCTTCTTTCAACATAATGCTTTATTCCACTGTGTCTCTTGTAACAGCTTAATAATGTTTTTTTCTGAAGGATTTACACTATATAAAGTTAATACATGCTAGTTATGATTTTTTCTCATTTATCTTTTAATAGGGGTGTCTGAGTTGGTTAGATTCCACTTTTCAGAAAGCTGTCTTCTAATAGTAATATAGCATGTTTTTTTTCTAAAACTGCTTGTGTGTTCTAAAGGAGAAGTTATATTTCTGAGTATGAATAAGTTAATATCTAGTATATTGCCGGTTGTTACARTTTTTATGGAAGTATACATTATAAATATATATGTTTATGCTTTTAGTATGCTCTTTTCTGTGAGTTAGTGTTTTGTATTTTACCTGTTAAGTTAGTGGTGGTGTGATGTATTTTAGAAAAAGCTTGTGAGAGCCACGTGTTTGCTAGGCTTCTAAATTTCAGTAGTCCAAAGATTTATTCCAGGTAGAAATAAACAGTTTATCTATTCAGGCCAGGCTTTGCTGTTGTTTAGGTTTGTTGGTGTTGTAAGTTTTCAGTTGCTCTTCTGTTTGTACGTTCAGTTGCTGCCTGAGGATGCTTGATGGCGTTTGTGTCCCTCTTTGGTAGAGGATGGATATCTTGTCCCCTTTTCCTGAGCAAACAGTTCTTGTGTATCCAAGATATTCTAACTATCTTGGTGCTCAGTGTGTAATTCTTGTAAACTGGTCAAGCTCATGTTTTAAACTTAAGCTGCTGCAGCCTATTACTGGTGCAAGGACTGACGAAGGACCCCAACATGGCTCCAGGAGTTGCAAGGGTCGTGGTGGGGTGATAGCAGTCTGCATGTAGATGGGTGTATGGTGATAGCGTTCCCCAAACCYTGTATCTCTTTGCAATTTATCACCAGATCTCATAAAATCTATAATCTCTTGCTGCAAACTCTACYTATCCTCATTTTTCAATCCCATATGTTGACAATTGCGTGTACCCTAGTGTGTGTTGTATCTGTGTGTGAGCACATCTGTACGTGTCCAGATGAAATACTTCCCAAAAAAGTTGTGCTCAAGTATCTGACCAAGACAGAAGCACTTACCTTCTTCACAAAGAAGACCTCTAAGCCAGTAGCCTTGGAGGATCAACTCTTATCCACTGCAGGATGCACCTCAGTGCTGCCACATGCAAAGTATTTTGTGCTGCATAAGTTGCAGGTTGAACTCTCTTAAGGGTAGGTGAAGGATTATGTGCTCAGCTCAGCCCTTTAGTGCRCACACCACCTATCAGTTGACCTTCTGGCTCTGCTGTGTGCATATAATTGTGCTTGCAGATGTTTACTAAATGGGGTGTCTGAGTAGCTGATATTTATGTGGGAGTTTGCAGCTGGAGTTCTGCGACAGTGATGGCAGCATGCAGCATGKCTATGTGAATGAGAAGTGTGATGATTTACTCTGTTTCCTTAGTTTTGTATCTTTTTTTTATCAGATAATATTATGTGTGTTGCAACCCATACTAAGAAAACTACATCCAGGAAGTTATTTTTATCTGTATGCCACATCACATTTTATTAGATAAAGCACTTCTCGGCTCTTGAATTTGCTCTTCTGATGTTGTAGTGATTAAATGACAGATTAAGTTTCAATAGATTTTTTTGAAGGCTTCTTAGGAGGAATATCATGTGTGTGCAGGAGATGTTATGTTCCAGCTATTGCACCTGCCCTTTTCTACCTCAGCTTATGGAATTTGACTGAAAACTGAAATAGCCACGGAGAAAATATTATTTGTATAATATTAAAATATTATCCATAGAATGGAGAACAATGCATCAGACAGATTGTATTCAAGCTTTGAGTTTTTTTACAAATGAGCTGACTCTTATCTGTGTAATGCACCATATTTCACTTGGGAAAGATTTTTTTTTTCAGCAATGATTTGTAGATGTATATTTATGGCCTGATGAATATCAACTGAAAGTAACATTAAATTTGATTTGGGAAGGCTGTGTTTTGTAATAAATGCTTTTTAAAATTTACTAATCTACTACCTCATAKGGAAAGATGTATGACAAGAGATAATAGTGAAGAGTAGAAGGTAGATTGCTAAAGACAGGTTTCACATAGCCAAACAACAGTGATTGAAAATGTATATTATCTTATAAAATCCTTTTTTTAAAGGACAGAATTCTGTGAAATACTCATATTGGTAGCTTTACAAGCCTTAACGGGAAAATTTTGAAGGGTAAGTATTTAAAATATTAACGTTCTAAAGCTGGTCCTACTCTGTTGCTGTTGGAAAGCTGTGTCTGAGGGCATGGCTTCGCTATAAGTGTGTTATTGGGCTGTTGTGTGCCTTTCTAGGCTGGTTTGCTACAAATGGCAATTAGCAGTCCCTGATATTGATGGGTCTAGTGGGCTCATTGCTTATTTGTTACGTCGAGACAGCAACACAGAACTGTGATCTGCTTTCCCTGGGATCTCTAATGCTTGTGCCTCTTGATGTGAAATTAGCTACAGTTCTTCACCTGCTCGACAAAACCAGAAGACTAAATTTGCGTTGCATTACAGAGTACATCAGCATATGGACAGGTCACTCCCTTGTTTCCCTCCAAATTGAAGCTCAGATTAATTACAGTGTCACCAGCTTCTAAAACAGGTTAGTTAATGGGAACTAACTGTGAGCTCGCTGAAGCAGCGCTAATCTTGCCGCTCGCGCCGAGCGCGCTGCCTTTGATCGGCTCATTCTCTCTCAGCAGGCCAAAAAGTAGCCACGGGATATGAGTGCTTAGCTTACAATCATGTTAATTTTGCTTTAGGTTTGTCTTTAGCTGTTGGAGATTAATGAATAAAAATGGTGTTTAAATTTGCAACGAGTTCTCTTCTAATTGCTTGGCAGTATTATTTCTGGCTGCTTTTTCCTTCCATTACTTGAGCCAGTCATCTAAAAGGCTGTGTGATTCTGCCATGTGACAGAAGGGTACAGCCAGAATATCTCAAAACAAGCAAGATGCTAGGAAAGAGTTGAGGAATTTCTTTGCTTTTCCAACTCTCTCTCCTGCTGTTTCCTGCATCCATGCCCMAAACCAAAGCTACTATTTGCCCTTCTGCTTTGCCCCTTCTTGCCCATACAACAGTCTGCTCTGACACTGGGAGAAGTTCTCTCTGGTCCCAGTGGTGTGTATCAGACATAAAAGCTAAATGTGAACCTGTGTGACTCGCAAGTCTGACCCTATATCTTTAAGTGTAAAGATATGAAAATAAACTCCTCTAGTTACCTCTACAAATATGCTTTCTAGTTGTAGAGTCCTCTGACAGAATGATTTGGTATTGCTTTGCAGTATGGCAGGGAAGGCAAATACTTCAGGGGAATAATAATAAAAAAAAAAAGTATAGATTTTCTTAAGGAAATTTTAAATTGCTTTGAAGTGGAGCTCCCTTCCACCTCTAGTTTCCCTAGGATTCATTGACAAGGGAATGGGCTGAGAAACCTGAGCAGGGGAACTCAGGGTTACTTGTGTCTCCAAGAATGGATTTCAGAAGCCAAGGAAATGGCTTGAACTGTAACTAGTCATCCTACAGCTCAAGCAGTATGACTCTGTATGGGAAAGTGCAGAGAATGCACTTCTAGTCATTTAGATTAAATACTTCTATGTAGCATAGCACTCATGCTCGTTTGTCGCAAAGATTAGCAGCAAAGAAATTACAGAATGTAGAACAGTTTGCTGGGGATTCATTTATATGGAAATATTGACAGGATCTTGGCTTGACAGCTTATCTCAAGGGAAGGGTTTGCTTGGCAAGGGCTGTACACTGGTGTATGGATAATCAGCTGGCATATGGAATCACAGGAGCCAATGCCCAAAGTGTCATAGGATTGTGTACTTGTAAAACATTAGGAACTTTCTAGTACCTCGGTTCTGTGGGTACCATGCAGGCATTCCCCATTTATTTTGGGGGTGGGCAGGATGGGGGAGAGGAACACTGAGAGAAAGACTCACATGGTGAGTCTTTATTATTAGGTTCCTAAGTGCCTTATAAAGATTTGATTTGAGCTCTGCTGCCCTAAAAAAAGGTATAAAAATTCTTTGCCTTTGTTTCAAGATGCCCCCTTGGGCAGGGGGAAGAAAGTTGAGTTAGCAATGCACTTGTTCTAGAGAAATAATCTTAAAGATTGCTGGCCAAGAGCACTGTTCTCTTCAACACCTAAGGAAGGAGACATCTGATGTAGTAGGTCTTACTTTCAAAAGGCTCTAAGCTCAGGAATAATTATCTGGAAGAAGTTGGCCAAACCATAGAGACTTTTGCCTCATTTGTTTCATTTCCTTCCTCCCCTACCTGTAAAATTAAGATAATAAATTATGCCTCAACTCCTATGAAATAAATATAACGTTTTAAAAAGTGCTTTTCCTAATTTGAGTGGAAGCTGCTCTTAAACACGCTGTGGAAACACAATTGAACATCTTGTATCTTTTATCTATGRCTAGCTTTATACCGAACAGAAATGTTTATTTTTCTCCTGGTGGAGGAAGAGAACAAACCTGTTTAATCTTCATATTGTTCTTTCTCTTATTTTGGAGTGGGGGAGCACTCAAGCCCTTGGGCAGCTGGTGCTGTGGAGCTATGGTATTTGTTCTAGTTCCATTATAGCTCAAACGTGGCCGTGAGACTGGTTTGGGGCATTAAAGTCTGATACTACAACCCTGATGCAATAGCTCTCCTCATGTCTAGGACTAGTCTTTGTCATGAATTCATTAGTTTCATGCAGAGATCGCGTATAATTCTGATTGCTGCTTGCTGGGAAACTTTAGAGAGAGGAATGGATACCGATAACTACTGAAACACCTCAATTTTGTGTGAAAATTGGG